TACACACTCACCAATACAGTAATGTTTCTTAATAACTGTGTTTGTACCCCCCAATAAGCATCAAATCCTGAAGTGACTACAACTTTACATAGTTTAAATTGGTTGTAAAGGCTGATTTTTTTTTTACCTTTATGCATTCTATGTATGAAGGTAAAAAAAACCTTCTGTGTGCTACTCCCTCCCCAGCCCCCCTAGTACTCACCTGGACCCCCTCTCAATCCAGCGATGTGCATGGAAGCCTCAGCTGTCCTTCCTAAGTCTCTCTCTCCTTATTGGCAGAGACACAGCAGTGTGAGCCTCTGAGGAGAGAGCGAGGGGTGGGGCTGAGCTGCAGCTCTATGTGTCTTATGGATACATAGAGCGGGGCTCGGGAGTGAGCATGCACCAGTGCCCCCATAGCAAGTGGCTTGCTATGGGCAGCACTGATCAGGGGGGAGGAGCGGCGTGCATGGGAGCCTTGGTTGTCCCTCCCGAGTCTCTCTCTCTCCTTATTGGCAGAGACACAGCAGCGAGAGCCACTGAGGAAAGAGCAAAGGGTGGGGCTGAGCTGCAGCTCTATGTGTCTTATGGACACATAGAGCAGGGTTTGGGAGTGAGCACGCACCAGTGCCCCCATAGCAAGTGGCTTGCTATGGGGGGCACTGATCAAGGGGGAGGAGTGATGTGCATGGGAGCCTCGGTTGTCCCTTCCGAGTCTCCCTCTCTTTATTGGCAGAGACACAGCAGCGAGAGTCACTGAGAAGAGAGCGAGGGATAGAGCTGAGCCACAGCTCTATGTGTCTTATGGACACATAGAGCAGGGCTCAGGAGCTCGGGAGTGAGCACAACACCAGTGAGCCTCCCCCATAGCAAGTGGCTTGCTATGGGGGGCACTGATCAAGGGTGAGGAGCGATGTGCATGGGAGCCTCAGCTGTTCCTCTCGAGTCTCTCTCTCCTTATTGGCAAAGACACAGCAGTGAGAGCCACTGAGGAAAGAGCAAGGAGTGGGGCTGAGCCACAGCTCTATGTGTATTGTGGACACATAGAGCGGGGCACGGGAGTGAGCAAGCACAAGTGCCCCCATAGCAAGTGGCTTGCTACAGGTAGCACTGATCAAGGGGGAGGAGCCAGGGTCGCCGGTGGGGGCCCCAAGAAGAGGAGGATCAGGGCGCTCTGTGCAAAATCACTGCACAGACCAGGTAAGAATAATATGTTTGTTATTTAAAAAAACAAAAAAAAAAAAACAAAAACATTTATTGTTACTTTAGGCTCATTCATAGGGACTATCCAGCACAGGCTGGTTTGAGCAATATGGGAATGTGTACATGTGGTATGAATAGTGCAGACATTGTAAAAGGTTATTGTCTTCCCAGACAGTGATCATTTACTTCCTTCCAATACTTGCTGCATTCCCAGCATCTCACTAAGTATGCATTGTGTGGCAAAAGACTGTAGCTTCCCAAGTGCTGCACATGAGCTGCCAGTGGAGAGGGAAGTCCTTCATTTCACAACTTTACGCACGGTACATGTAGGAAGCAATTTGCCTTATTAGGAGACGCCGCTGAATCAGGAAATTTAAAGTCACTACCGAGCAGTGTCAACTGGCAGGAAGACCAGCGTCCCCGGAGCCCACTGGAAATTTCCTGAAAAGAATCACAAAGAAGTGAAAAATAACAGTGAAGTTTTAAAAAGATTTATTTCCTACTCATTTGTCTTTTGTTCTGAACTGACGACAGTTACCATAAGAGCCACCAGAGGACTGATTTTGTGTTATTACAGTGCAGATGAAGGGAAACTTTGCTTTTAGACCTGGATATTGGATGTACACAGTATAATTCCTTCACCGCTACATAGCTCAAGATATGTGGACCACTAAGCATGATCATAAAACAGTTCTATTACACCCCGACCCAGCCTTTCTCAACTCTTCTACCCTACAGGGACACTTAAAACACTTTTTATGTCCCAGCGATCTTTAGCTAAAATGATTTTATTTACAGCTCGTGGTATATTAGCATAATCCATAAATTGTAAATATGATGATATTAAATAAAATGAGAAAGAATTTGCCATATTTAGCTTTTTGACACCCAGAGAGGATAATTTTGTAATCCCTCTTCTTCTGTCAATAAAAGGATTTTTAGTAAAATAAATTATCAATGAAATTAAAAATAAACATATGCAGACACAGACAGTGATCATTTTAGTGTCCCCTCATATTGGTGGTCAGTTGAAAAGTGGTTCTTGCAGTCAATACAGAAAGCCCCCTTACATGGTAGTTAATTCAAATTCAAAGTGTACCCTTGCACTGGATGTCAGTGTCCTCTTGTATTGGTGGTCAGGTCAGTGGAAAAACACTCCCTTACATTGGTGTTCAGTGGAAGAGTGAATCCTTACATTGGTGCTTAACCTCCCTAGCGGTATGATTATGTCCATATTTCTGTGCTCAAAGCGGTACATTTTTTTGCATGGAAATATTTAGTTTTTTTTATTGTAGGCCTGTAATTTTTAGGAATAACTCACTGAAATCTGTCCGAACAAGAGTCTAGTAAACAACCCGGGTAGGATAAAACTTGAACCACGAAATCATAAATTATAATTTAATAAATAATCATAAAAAATAATAATATAATAATGAATTTAATTCAATATTATAACCAGACCAAAAACACTGAAATTTGAAATATAGCGCCAAGTTCGCACATCACTGAGCAAAGTCGCAAAATCGTTTTCAGTGTCTGATGACGAATTTCCCCACGAATCATTATCACTCAATTCTGCAAGTGGTTCTGATTTACTATCACTGTTCTCTAGCTGGTCTAAAACCACTTTTGACCGAAAGGGACGATTTTTGGACTCCATGGACTTTTCTCAGTTTTCAGGCAGAAAGAACAGTAAAAATGCAGGCAGGGCACAGGACAAAGCACTCGGGACAAAATGTATGTGAAATGGTTTGATACAGCAATGGTTTTATGTGATAGTGATTTTAGTGAATGTCACTTTTTGTAATTTTCTAATTTCCCGCCGTTCCATCCCCGTACGTCTCGACGCTCACTGGGGATGGAACCCAGATGACAAATTACATTGCCAGAGACACTGCAGGAGGGACATCGCGGGAGTGCAGGACACGGTAAATGATCGAGGGATCCCGGAGCAGCGCTGCATGGTAACCCCGAGTGTGGCTTGGGGTTACCGCTTGTGGTACTGAAACTTTACCCCGAGCTACACTCGGGAATACCGCCAGGGGGGTTAATAGAAAAGTGTTCTCTTACATAATTGGTTAGTGGTAGGAGGAACATCCATTACATGAATGGTCAGTGGAAAGAACATCCTACTACAATGGAAGTTGGTGGGAGGAAGAATGCCCCCTATGTTGATCGTCAATGGGATGAATGCCCCTTACATTGGTGGTTAGGGGGGGATTCCGTTTTTCAGACATCTAATAGGATATTTGGTTTCAATGGCTAATTTATACAAAGATGAGAAAAGAGTCTTTAGTGAACCCATGCTGCTGGCTATGCCAAGTGACCTCAGCCCCCAAACAGGCACCGTAGGCACTTTAGGGCTGGATATCAAAACTTTTGATATACACACAATGCTTTAAATCCAACATGACCTGCCACTAAATGTAATCTGCATACAATTTTGTTATACTGTGTACATACACAAGACACTGCAATGTCAATGTGCACTATAATGGGATATGACAATATAGTTCTATCGTACACAAATTAAACAAAATATAACACCATGACCTGACAACTGGACATGGTCTTCATACAATTCATTTATACTGGCCAAGCAGCTAAATACACAGGTGCAATATATATATTATATATATATATATATATACACACTGTAACAATGCTACTGCTCCAAAGATATAGTACAGTGAGTAAGTTGTGTCACCTGAGTACAGAAAATGATTTACTGTCAGGATTGCCAACTTAAAAATGTTTTTTAAATGTTTTTTCTGTGGACACCACGACTTTGGACTGCTAAGCTGCAATATATTATAATTGTGGTTGGGTTTAGATAGGTTTTAAAGTTATTTCTAAAGGCTTACATTTTTTTTTTTAAATAACAAACATGTCTATGGTTGTGCACAGAGCAGCCCAGATCCTCCTCTTCTTGGGTTCCCTGCCGGCGCTCCTGGCCCTTCCCTCCTGTCAGGTGCCTCCTCAGCAAGCAGTTTGCTATGAGTGCATCCCAGCATGCGCACTCCCCAGCCACTGCTCTGTGTGTACATTCACACAGAGAGCCGTGGCTGGGCCCCACCCTCTCTCTCTTCTCATTGGCTCACTGGCTGTGATTGACATTGGTTCCCACTGCTGTCTCAGCCAGTGAGGAGAGGGAGTCCCAGGATAGCTGAGACTCCAGTGCACATCATTGTATTGAGAGGGGGTATAGGTGAGCATTGGGGGGGCTAGAGGGGATGCTGCACAGAGAAGGTTTTTTATCCTAATGCAGAGAATCCATGAAGGTAAAAACATTGAGCTTTTAAAACCACTTTAACTTGTTGCCGACCGCAGATAGCCGAATGACGGCTGCACTGCAGCCGGCCAGTTCTGAGTGGACGTCATATGACGTCCCCCCAGAACGCGCTCTCCTGCACGCCCAGGGGGCGCGCACCCGGCGATCTCCGTGATCGCTGTGTCCTACGGACACAGCTGATCACGTGATGTGGTAAAAGGCGAATCACAGCGGCCTTTTACCACCTGATCAGCGGTGTCCAATGACACGCTGATCAGAGGGAAATGCAAGTGCCGGTTCTCGGCTGCACTTTCCTCACGCTGTCAGATCGTGAGGAAAGTACTGCCGAGAACCGGCAGTTGTCAGAGCGGGGATCGGCACCGATCATTAGGGCACCCGCAAGTTCCGCCCACCTGTGCCCAGCAGTGCGCCCACTAGCTCCGCCCACCTGTGCCCAGCAGATCACCCACCTGTGCCCAGCAGTGCACCCACCTGTGCCACTCTGCAATGTCACACACCTGTGCCCAGAAGTGCCACCTACATGTGCCCAGCAGTGCCACCCACCTGTGCCCACCCAACTGTGCCCACCAGTGCCACCCACCTGTGCCCACCAGTGCCACCCACCTGTGCCCACCCACCAGTGCTGCCACACCAGTGCCACCCACCAGTGCAGCCCAGCAGTGCTGCCAGTCAGTTCCACCAGTCAGTGCCCAGCGGTTGTGCCAGTCAGTGCTGCCAGTCAGTGCCCAGCAGTGATGCCAGTCAGTGCCGTCTATCAGTACCCATAATCAGTGTCACCTATCAGTGCCGCCTATCAGTGCTGCATATTAGTGCCGCCTATCCGTGACACCTCATTAGTGCTGTCTATCAGTGCCGCCTATCTGTGCCACCTCATTAGTACTGCCTATCAGTGCCCTTTAGTGCTGCCTATCAGTGCCTATCAGTGTCCATCAGTGCTGCCTCATCAACGCACATCAGTGAAGGAGAAAAATTACCTGTTTGAAAAATTTTATAATAGAAACAAAGAAACTTTTTTTTTTCAAATTTTTGGCAATTTTTTATTTATAGCGCAAAAAGTAAAGCGACCAGTGGTGATTAAATACCACCAAAAGAAAGCTCTGTTTGTGAGAAAAAAATGATCAAAATTTCATATGGGTACAATGTTGCATGACCGCGCAATTGTCAATCAAAGTGCGGCAGCGCTGAAAGCTGAAAATTGGCCTGGTAAATAAGGGGGTATAAGTGCCTGGTAGGCAAGTGGTTAATCATTGCATCAAGAGTAAAAGGGTATGGTATCACAAAAACCCTGTAATAGTGAAGTACTCAGCCTTTACCTAGAGCAGAGCCTGTAGCTTCCCTTTCAGAAAGAAGCAGTCATCTTGTTAGTAATGTAAAACCTGCTGATAAGCTAAACTTCTGCAGAGATGGTTGCAGAACAGGATAAGGGACTATCAACATATCAGTGACAGTGACCCATTTTAGCACTGGTGGGACAGTCCCTTGTATGAAAAAAAAAAGCGAAGCAGAGCCATCGGGACGGGAGTACGAAATTAGCGTTTGCGGTATATGTTGAACAGATATCTCACAAGTGTGGTGGTGACAGTGTCTATGCCAGGAACACTAAAGCACGAGCTTGGCTATAATTGTGCCTAATAAACAGTTTATTGAACGCCGTTGACCTTTACCAACAGTTGTCAAACAGTCTTTTACTATTACTAATTACTTAGCATTTTTCACAAATAATATTTGTGTTGGTAGTTGCAATTATGAAGCTCAGAACCATTCTCAGGCCATAGCCCTACATTTCTCCATGTACTGGAGGGACAATGTTCCTCTTCCTCTGTCCCTCTTTATTGACTGTCCACTGATTCCTTTGGATGCTGAACTTAAAGTGATATTAGAACTCAAAGCAAATATTTTATTGCAGCTTACCAATTCTTAGATGTGATGGCTGTATTAGTTTTCTTTTTTAAGACTTTCTCTCATGTTCATCGGCTGATCCTGCTAGCAGATCTGTTATTTTTCAAGAGAACAAGCTGTCATACAGATGCAGGAGCGTTTATTTACATAGTTACATAGTCTGGATGAAAAAAGACAAACGTCCATCCAGTTCAATCACTAAAAATAAAACAGTTATAATCCTATACCCATATTTATTTATTTAAAACCTTCATCCCAAAATATAAAAAAATGTGTTTTCTGTAACAGCTTAAAAAGTGTTATCTAGAGCTTGGCTTCAGTTTGTTAATGTATATAAATCTGAAAGTGCATCCAGCATTTCCCTCCCCCCAAACTTACAATGCTGCTGTCCAAAGGTGTCTCTGTGCTCCTTCAACCAGAGTGTAGGCACTCTAAAGCTGGGTATCCATGTAGAGTTTTTTTTTTTTTTTTCAACCAGTAGGTTGAATGAAAAAAAAACTGACAGACCCTGCATCCACAAAAGTGATTTGCATGTAAGGATCTCCCCCGCTGTGCTATTGTACTCTGATGGTGGGGACTCCCTCCCATCAGAATACATTGATCAGGGGTCCAAACATTGGCTGCACAGCTGCATAAATACTGGCTTTCCAACAGGACAATCCTACGTATGAAGGTAAAAAACCTTCAGAGTGCAACTACCCCCATACTCACCTGAGCCTGATCTCGATCCAGTGGTGTGCACGAGAGCCAAAGCTCTCCTGGGTCTCTACCTCCTCATTGGCTGAGACACAGCAGCTGCCAATCACAGCCAGTGAGGAGGGAGGGGGGGGCAAGCTGCTTCCTGTGGGTCTGATAGACAGAGGTGGCTTGGGAACAAGCATACAGGAGTGCCCCAGAGCAAGCAACTGGAGCGCTGGTGGAGGAGCTGACAAGAATAGGATTGGGGCTGCTCTGTGCATATCCATCACACAGAGCAGGTACGTATGATGTGTTTGTTATTAACTGCTTCCGCGCCGCCCTATAGCAGAAATACTGCTACAGGATGGCACAGATGAGCAAAAATCACATATATATATATATATACTATATATATATATATATATATACGTAGGGTAGGGGACGCCATTAGTGGCCTTGGCTGTCAACCACCAGGTCCTGGCCGGTGATTCCCCGCTGCCACCCGGGAATCCCCAAGTATCACCGATGAGGGAGAGACCTGTGTATAAACAACACAAATCTCTCCCCTGTCAGCTCCTGCACACTGCTTTGTACGGATCTGCACAGCAGAGCCATACAAAGCAGTGTGCTTACAGTGTAAAGCACACACACAGCCCACATAGTGAAAACAGCACACAGTTAACCCTTTGATCACCCCACATGTTAACCCCTTCCTGCCCAGTGTCATTAGTACAGTGTCAGTGCTTTTTATTAGCACTGATCACTGTATTAGTGTCACTGGGGATGTCAGTAACACCAAGCCAGTTCCCCCCAGTGTCAAAATGCCTGCCGCAGTCCCACTATAAGTTGCTAATTGCCACCATTTCTAGTAAAATTAAAAAAAAAATTCCTGTTTTATATACTACTATTTGTAAACGCTATAACTTTCATGAAAACCATTTAATTTACACATATTGGGATTTTTTTTTTAGCAAAGACATGTAGCAGAATACATTTTGGCCTAAATTTATGAAAAAAATACATTTTTTTAAATTATTTTACTGGACATGTTTAATAGCAAAATGTAAAAAATATAGTTTTTCTTTTCAAAATTGTTGTTTTGTTTATAGCGCAAAATATAAAAAAAACACAGAGGCAATCAAATACCACCAAAAGAAAGCTCTATTTGTGGGAAATAAGGACGTACATTTCATTTGGGTGCAGAGTTGCATGACCGTGCAATTGTCAGTTAAAATAAGGCAAAACATGGCCTGGTCAGGAAGGGGAGGGGGGGGGGGGGTAAATCCTCTGGAGGGCAAGTGGTTAAAAATAAATTGGAACCTTTAATACCTTTAACAGACAGGGCTACTGACGCATCAAAATTTGTCTGGTTCCTGCTGAACAGGCCAAATTTCTATACAGTTGCAAGAAAAAGTATGTGAACCCCTTGGGATTACGTGGAGTTTTGCATGAATTGGGCATAAAATGTGCTCTGAATGTCATCTAAGTCACAACAATAGAAGAACACAGTCTGCTGAACATAATACTACACAAACATTAGATGTTGCCATGGTTTAATTGCACATAACATGTAAACATTCACAGTGCAGGGAGGAAAAAGTATGTGAGGCCCTAGCTTAATGACTTCTCCCAGAGCTAATTGGACAGCTGTCCTGCCCTTAAAAAAACACACACCTGTTTTGGGTTTACTGGTTTCAAGAAGCATTGTCTGATGTGAACCATGCCTCGCAGAAAAGAGCTCTCAGAAGACCTACGATCAAGAATTGTTGACTTGCATGAAGCTGGAAAGGGTTACAAAAGTATCTCCAAATGCCTTGATGTTCATGTGTCCACGGTAAGACAGACTGTCTACAAATGGAGAAAGTTTAGCACTGTTGCTACTCTCCCTAGGCATGGTCGTCCTGGTCGTCCTGTAAAAATGACTGGAAGAGCACAGCGCCGAATGCTGCATGAGGTAAAGAAGAATCCCAGAGTGTCAGCTAAAGACCTACAGAAATCTCTGGCACATGCTAACATTTTTGTTGACACATCTACAATAAGGAAAACATTAAACAAGAATGGAGTACATGGGAGGACACCACGGAGGAAGCCATTGCTGTCCAAAAAGAATATTGCAGCACGTTTGAAGTTTGCAAAAGAGCACCTGGATGTTCCACAGCACTACTGGCAAAATATACTGTGGACAGATGAAACCAAGATTGAGTTGTTTGGGAAGAACACACAACACTATGTGTGGAGAAAAAAAAGGCACAGCACACCAACATCAAAACCTCATCCCCACTGTAAAAACATGGCGGAGGGAGCATCATGGTTTGGGGCTGCTTTGCTGCCTCAGGGCCTGGACAGATTGTTGTCATTGATGGGAAAATGAATTCCAGAGTTTATCAAGACATTTTGCAGGAAAACGTACGACCATCTGTCCGCCAACTGAAGCTCCGCAGAGGATGGGTGATGCAACAGGACAAGGACCCAAAGCATACAAGTAATTCAACAAAACAATGGCTGCAACAGCACAGAATACGCCTTCTGGAGTGGCCCAGTCAGAGTCCTGACCTCAACCCGATTGAAATGCTGTGGCATGACCTTAAGAGAGCGATTCACACCAGACATCCCAAGAATATTGCTACACTGAAACAGTTTTGTGAAGAGGAGTGGTCCAAAATTACTCCAGATCGTTGTGCAGGTCTGATCTGCAACTACAGGAAACGTTTGGTTGAGGTTATTGCTGCCAAAGGAGGGTCAACCAGTTATTAAGTCCAAAGGTTCACATACCTTTTCCGCCCTGCACTGTGAATGTTTACATGTTATGTGCAATTAAACCATGGCAACATCTAATGTTTGTGTAGTATTATGTTCAGCAGACTGTGTTCTTCTATTGTTGTGACTTACAGTCAGGTCCATAAATATTGGGACATCGACACAATTCTAACATTTTTGGCTCTATACACCAACACAATGGATTTGAAATTAACCGAACAAGATGTGCTTTAACTGCAGACTGCCAGCTTTAATTTGAGGGTATTTACATCCAAATCAGGTGACCACTGTACGAATTACAACAGTTTGCATATGTGCCTCCCACTTGTTAAGGGACCAAAAGTAATGGGACAGAATATTAATCATAAATCAAACTTTCACTTTTTAATACTTGGTTGCAAATCCTTTGCAGTCAATTACAGCCTGAAGTCTGGAATGCATAGACATCACCAGACGCTGGGTTTCATCCCTGGTGATGCTCTGCCAAGCCTCTACTGCAACTGTCTTCAGTTCCTGCTTG